TATACAGAGAAATAGAGTACCAGAAATATTTTTATGTGGTCCTTTTTTTTTTTCAAGGAGCCACAGGATCCCACAATAATTGATGCATTGAATTAATTTTACTGAAGCTATTAAAGTCTTGAAATATTTTTCATTATGTATAGAAATGATAATTCCCCTGTAGTCAAAAGGAACCGATTCATTTATAAAGAATTCAGCATACAGAGCATCAGTTCTGATGCTTTGAGAAGTGCTTAAAGTAGTGGCAGATTGGTTCTGCGCTAGTTTTCCATGTTTATGCTGTTCACTTTAACCTGGCTTGTCTGGAAATGTTTACAAGCAATTGCCAAGTATTGCAGAAGATCAAAAGCAGATTCTACATCTGTTGCTGCCTAGTTTTCATTTATCAGAGTGGAATTGTAATGAAACATTTGCTCCAATGAAATAGAGCATGTTTTTACATGCTAACTGAGCAGGACACAGGTAGAAAAAAGTCACAGAAGGGAAATCAAAAGTAATTTAGACCAACTTCCCCTCCTTAAATAATTTCAACTCTATTTAAGTCTTGATACCTGATTTTGGGGGGCTTTTTTGGGTGATTGGGTTGTTTGGGGGGTTTTTTAATTGTTAGTTTTTGGTTTTGTTTTTTTTTTGTTAATTTAAAAGCTTGCATCAGTGAAGATTCCTTAACTATTTAAGGGACTCAATTCCAATGGTAGAATATTCCAAAAGATAAAAAGGTTTTCCTCTGTGTAACCACCTTCCTTGTTGCAATTAAAGTCTGTCATTTCCATCTCCAGCAGACACAGAGATCCTTTCTGTGTGCAGCAGCTTTTTGCAGGCTTGAAGTTGTAAAAGATGTTCAAGTTTTTTCTCCATTCAAAAATACTCTTCAAAAGCAGTCTTTGAGCAAATGTGACATCTGACAGTTCTTGCCTGCATATTTTATAGACAGATAGGCATTATTCCATCATTCAAACCATTAATAAATGCTTTAAAGACATTACATTGAGGCAGACCCTGAAAATACCTGCTCAGTATGGGGTTTGAATTTATTAACTGTTACTTGCTTATCTTTTAGAATGTGGTTTTCCAGTGACTTGCATGCACCTCCTTCCCCCCACCCTCCCTGTAATTTCAGCAAAATATTTCCTACTGAGAGACATTGTCTAAAAGTTGAGATGTATGTATTTTCCCATTCTTCACAAGAATGGGTAGAATATATGTTGAAGAATGTTAAAATTACTTGATAGGTCTTCTTGGCTAATCTTGGTCTTCTGTTGCTTTTTATTTTACTGTCTTTTAAATCTTTACAAATATGCTGAGTCTTTTTTGTAGAGTTGAAGTTAGACTGAGTTGTGTATGCTTCTCCTATTTCTTAAAGAAGACACTTGCCCAGGATTTTGGAACTTGCCTGTTCTGCATAACTTCTCAGAATCACTAATGGTTCTGATTTTGCTGCAGCCAGTTCATTATTGGATACCCTGCAATGATTCTTTTAAATTTAGCTCTAGTCTGATGATTATTTATCTAGGTCTTGTTCACTGTTTTGTCATTAATTCTTACCCTGTAATTACTCATACTGCATTCCTCTTAGAAAAGACAAAATGCAAATAGGCTTTTCTGTGTGTCATCTCTTAGTGTCTCTGCTGAGTACTTGCTTATTTCTGTGTCCAGTATTCCTGGTAAGGAAGTGGTTATGGGATGCTTGCTTTTCTCTTATGTGTCTTACACTAGTGATGTTAACTTTGTGCCTTGTTCTTTCTTTTGGAAGTTTCCAAATACGATGAATGCTTCTTTTTATGAATACAGGCAGTAAATTGTGTAATTTGAAAAGATTAGGATTCTCCCAAATCTTTTGATGTTCCTGACTAGAATTGGTGTTAGTGGGGTTTATCTTAATGTATTCTTCTTTTCTAAATGACAGTGGACTAAGGTCATCCTAGAAACTGGATTGCACTTTGACTTTGTTATAGTAGGTAGCCTTTAAATGTTTAAGCTGTATATTCAACATACAGTATTTTCTGCCACCAAATCTCTTGAAATAATACTGAATCATCCATAATGTGATATATGTTGTGTGACATTACCACTTCTAAGCCCTTACCCTTTGCTGCTTTATCTCCTTTTCATGAGTTTAATACCTTATATAAACCTGAAGTCACTCTTAAACCTTGGCAAACAATGTTCTTTCATAAGGGCAAAAAACAAAACAGTGTTTGGCTCAAGGAACTGACAAGTAATATAATTCTATAAGTGAAGATAACTAGAAAAACTAACTTGCCTGGCATGTCATGTGTTCACCGATTGAAAATTAAAGGGGAAAAAAAAAAAGCCATACACCACAAAGCACATTTTTGAGAAGAGCTACAGTATTCTTCTGATAATCATCTTGCAGTTGTTCCAGTAAAGGGCCCATGTGTTCTGTGTGGAATGATGGAGCTCCTTCTGGAAATAAAAGCTGGTTACAGAAGTTCAGTAGGAAAAAAAATAAAAAAATCTGAAGATTCCATGTATAAGAAGGGATGTAAGGCATTTATCTTTAAAAAGTGAATATTACATATATCAGTCAAAGTTTAAGTCTTGGTAGGCTCCTGAGAATTTCCAGGTGAACTTCAGGGCTCCAGTAAGAATGAAGAGAGGGAGACAATTATGTAGCTAGAATAAGTTTTGTTAAGGAAGAAATAAATAGGTCTTTCAAAAAGAAAAATACTTTATTTTTTATTAATTTCTAAGCTATTAGGTGTATAAAATTATGTTTTCAGCTAAAAATATTCTGGAGATCTTTATAAAGATTATAACCTTGACTCTTTTAGAGTGGTTTGTTCAAAGAGAAAAAGGAAGCCTACAGAAGGTGGAAGCAGGGACAGGTAGCCTGGGAGTAATACAGGGAAATTGTTGGAGCAGCCAGGGATCAAGTTAGAAAAGCTAAAGAAAGCCCTGGCAGAATTAAATCTGTCCAGGGAGATTAAAAAAGCCAATACGAAAAACTTTTATAGGTACATTGGGGATTAAAGGAAGACTAGGGAAAATGTGAGCCCCCTCTGGAAAGAAATGGGAGTCCTGATCACCTGGGATATGGAAAAAGCTGCGGTATTCAATGACTTCTTTGCCTCAATCTTCACCAACATGTGAAGAGTCACACCCCCCAAAAGGCAGAGGCAGGGAATGGGAGAATGAAGAGCTGCCCACTGTAGGAGAATCATAAAATGGTACAGATTGGAAGGGACCTTAAAGATCATTGAGTACCAATCCCCCTGCCATCAGCAGGCACACCTTCCACTAGACCAGGTTGCTCAAAGCCTCATCCAACCTGGCCTTGAACACTTCCAGGGAGGGGACATCCGCAGCTTCCCTGGTCAACCTGTTCCAGTGTCTGACCACCCTCACAGGAAAGAATTTCTTCCTAATGTCTAATCTAAACCTACCCTCTTCCAGTTTGAAGCCATTACCCCTATGGACCTGACACTACTGATGACAACCCTTTGACCATAACTGTTCATCCAATTTTCACTCCACCTACTTGTGTAGTCCGTATTTCATCAGTTTCTCTATAAGGGTGTTACAGGAAACAGTGATAAGCAACATCCACTCACCAAATTACCTTATCATAGAAAGTTGTCTCCATAGTAAGGTAGAAGTTTTCCCTCTTCATAAATCCATGCTGATGACTCCCAGTTGTCAACTTGTACTTAACATATTTGGCAGTGTTTTCCGGGATTATTTACTCCATCACCTTCTCGGGCATTAAGATGAGACTGAACAGCCTGTAGTTCCCCCGATTCTTCTCCTTGAAAACAGGAGTGGTTTGCTCACTTTCAGTCCTCAGGACCCTCCCTTGATCATCACCATGATCTTTTAAAGATAATTGAGAGTGGCCTTGAGCTGCCCTTGGCCAGCTCCCTTGACATTCATGAAAGCATCCCATTAGGACCCATGGACTTGTGTGTGCCTAGTTTGTTTGAATATGGCCTTACCTGAACCTCCTCTACCAGCGGTAAGTTTTTGCTGTCCCAGGCTTCTCCGCTGGTCTCTGTTGCGTGGTGTTCCTGATGGCAGTCAAAACTGAGATGGAGAAAGCACTGGTTACTTGGGTCTTTCCTGTGTCTTCTGTCACCAGGTCCCCTACCCCAGTCAGCAGCAGGTAACCATTTCGGTAGTCTTCCTTTTCCCACTAATACACTTGTAGTATCCCATCTCGTTGGCTGTCACGTCCATTGCCAGATTCAGGGCCAGGTGGGCTCTGACTTTCCCAAGCCCGTCCCTGCATGGTCAGACAGTGTTGTAGTATTCATTTCAGATCTCCTGCCCCTGTTTACATCTCTTGTAAGTTTTCTTTTTATGCATGAGTTCAGTTAATTCATCCATGTGGCCTCCTGCAGATCTTGCTTGGCTGCCTGAGTATGGGGACAGATTGCTCATGGGCTTGGAGGCAGTGATCTGTTGATTCCAGAGGGGTGGCACAAGTAGAGCTGAGAACAGCTTGTGTGTGAAATGGGAAGTTACTTGCTGATGCTGTGAGTCATACATGGGACAGGGTAAAATGCGTCTTACTCTCTTGGTTGTACTAGAGCTACAGCACAAAAACACCGCTGCAGAAATTGATGTTTTGTCACTACAAAGAGCAGGTAGCTCTAAGCTGAAAAAGGAAAGAAGTCTGTAAACTCTTTGCTCTTCTGGTCATACCTGTATCAGGATTTAGAGGGCATCTCCATTCATAATTAGATCTAGACAGCTCTGCCTAAAAGTTTATAATATGCCAGGTACTTCTTTGCATGTTTTGAATAGAAAAAAAGTGTGTATATGCTTTACTTAAGGTGGTTCATAGTGTATAATGAAAAGAAGATCTAAAATACCTGAATTCCAAAAAATGTTTCATTCCTTCATATTTTCTCATGCAAGTTCTTTCTGTTAGAACATGGGACTTTTTATTTATTTATTTATTTATTTAATTATTTTACATAATATAAGTTTCTTTCAGAAAACACTTAATTCAAACATGTTACAGTGTTTTTTCTGTTTCAGACTTGCCACCTGTTCCTTCTACATCAAGGACAGGCTCTGCAGAATTTTCTGTTAGGGAGCGAATGAGAGAGAAACGAAAAGCAGCAAAGGTGAGAATCCTTCAGAAGTCCTGTTCGATTGGCTTTAGTCTTATAAGTACCACCCACTTCATTTTCCTTGCTTACTGCTGTGTGAATATGAAATGGGATAACTGCTTTTTTATTTCTAATGCCAAAATAATACTTGGTTCATTTGTACAATTATTTTCCAGTGTATTTCTATTGTTGTATTTTTTCTAAGGTTTATATTTGATTTGTTTGCAGTAAAAGTTATCACTGTTTTATAATTCAAATGATACAGTCATTACAAGATCCTTATGTATTTTTGTCAAAAAAATTCTTACACTATTTTGAAATCACTTATTTCCTTGTAAGTTTACTGTGCAGTTTAATAAGGGTTACTAACATCTAGGTCTGCAAAATCACTTAAGCTGGTAATAGAGTTAAAAGATTCTGCCCCCAACACAAACAAGTATAAATCGTTGAATTCCTGAGAATTATTGTAGCTTTGGTTGTCTTATATTTCTGTTATAGCTAAGCATTTTTTTTGTTGTTGTTTGCTTAGTCAAAAGCAGAACTTAATTTATTCAAAAAAGTTTCCAGTCCACAACCAAGGCGTTTGAAAAGCACCAAAGAAAGAAAAACAGAAGTCAGAGTGGATAAAGCGGTAAGAAGGTGCATTGAGTCTTGCTATTCTGATAACGAGAAACATGAAATAAAGACTACACATAGTCTTCAAGATCAATTTCATTTATTTCAATGGGATCAAAATTATGCTATTGTTTGAATTAGTAACCAGGAAGGAACCTTTCTGATTATTGCTTTTAATGTACATATTTAACAATAATCATTTGCTTTCATTGTAGTACAGACATAATGCAGAACTTTTGTCATTTACAGGGTCCTGACTTCAGTTTCTTAAGATACCTCGAAGTATTTAAAATTTACTGTAACAGAAAGGACCACCATATCATAGCTCTATTTAAATTTGCACAGTGTAATTGCTAAAGGCTGGTTATTAACTTTATGTCATTGTACTGTATTATATTACCTTGTTACTATCTTATGTTCAGGTTTTTTTAGAATGTTCTTTGTTAGACAATGAATTTTGTATTAAAAAAATAACAAAAGCTATGCCTGTGTTGAAATTGCACCCAGATATTCTTCAGAATTCACAAAGAGATTGCTTGCTTGTAGAAAATGTGTTCCAAAGAATGTGTATGCAGTGACCTTTTTTTCTGGAGTTCCAAACAATATGGATTAGCCTAGTGAAATTGCTTGTCTAGGGTAGAATTACCTATTCATGTAGGTTGTGGGGAGGCTTTTGTCAGTCTTTTCTTATAAAAAACAATTGTCGTAGCTTTCAGTTAAGTAATATTGTGTTAATACGTTTGACCAGACTATTTCAGTGGTGGCCAGCGATAGGACAAGGGGCAGTGATCAAAAGCTGGAACACAGGAGGTTCTGCTTAAACATGAGGAAAAACTTCTTTACTCTGAGGGTGCTGGAGCACTGGAACAGGCTGCCCAGAGAGGCTGTGGAGTCTCCATCTCTGGAGATGTTCAAAACCCGCCTGGACACTTTCCTGTGCAACCTATTGTAGGGAACCTGCTTTGGCAGGGGGGTTGGACTAGATGATCTTTTGAGGTCCTTTCCAACCTCTACCATTCTGTGACTCTGTATTAGGAAAATGTGGAAGTGATACCCTTATTAAAGTTGGTTACTAATTTTATATAAACTGTATCTGAAACTGTCCACTTATTGGTTTTGTTTCCTGTACTTATTTACACATGTATGAAGCATTGTTTTGTTGTCAAACAAGTGGCCATCAGATTGACAGGGTTTGAGATTTTCTTTTTGCTATTATTATTTTGAAGTTTATGTTGAATAGATGTAAACTTGAGAAGTGTCTTCCTTTAATCTAAGAATTCGGGCCACAAGGAGGAGAAACAGATACATTTATGTTGGCTGGGTCTGATGAAAATCACTTTGAAGCACTTGTGAACTTGCTGAAGGAACCTCAGAACCAGTGATGCTTACAGTGATCTGTGTGTAGGGACATATAAGGCTTCAGAAAATAGAAACAGATAACCATGCTACCTCCTTTCTTGAAAAGGTAGAATCATAGAATAGTTTGGTTGGAGAAGACCATTGTGATCATCTAGTCCAACCGTAAACCCAGCATTGCTAAGTTCACCACTAAAGCATGTCCCCAAGTACCACATCTACACGTCCTTTAAATATCTCCAGGGATGGTGACTCCATCACTTCCCTGGGCAGCCAGTTCCAATACTTGAAGAGCCATTCAGTGAAGAATTTTTTCCTAATATCCAATAGGTAGAGGAATATCATCCATGGAGTCTTAGAGTAGCCTAGCAATAATTGTTTGAGAGAGAAAAAAACCAAACCAAGTCTGCATTTAAGCACCCAAGCAATGGACACTACTGTTTTTGAGTAATACCAAATAGGTTTTTCCTGATTGCAGCAGGGGCTTTATGAGAAACTGGCCTCAGCTCCTTGGTTCCCTTCCCTGGTGAGCAGTGTCTGTCAGCAGCACTGCTGTCTGTCAGGCCTCTCATTTTAGGCAGGAAGATTTCACATTGCTACCCCATCTCTCCCCCTTGCGGAGATGGGCATGTGGCTATTTGTGTTCAGGAATGCAGAAACAATGATCTCATCAGCAGTGAAGAAAGTAAACTAACATTTATGCAAAGAAACATTTATTGATACTCTACAGTCTATTTCATGACCCAAAGGAGTTAAGTAATAAATAGATGTACCCTTTTAAAATAAATATAAAATCAGTATAATTGTCACCACAGTGACTGTGGGTTTTTTGGGTTTTTTTGTTTGTTTGTTTTTTTCTGTGAAAATGCAATATCTAATCTCTGTATTCAGCTATTTGTCTTTTTTTAATTTTTTTTTTTAGTGGACCACTAAATATATGTTATAACTTACTTATATATTTTTGTGCAGTCTCATCATGCTACTTTTAGGGAGATGCAAAAGGGTGAATCCCACTTACCATCAAAAATAAAGTTTCATGATTCTGTCAAAAATTCAACAGTAAGTACCAAGTCCTTCATTTCAATAACTGGTATTGATTTCATTTCAACTTTATATGGCTTCATGATTCTGTTTGAAGAAGCAGACACAATTGAGTCTTAAGCAGTGAAGAGGGTTTTACTTAATTTAAAAATTCATAAGCAGGATATGCCAACAATAGACAGAGAACCTTCATCAAAAAGAACAACGGCTTTGGGTTTTTGATTTTTTTTTTTTAAATTAAGTCAGTCCATCTGGACACAATTACTGGAGCTTAGAGGCTTCTTCTGTTTAAAACCTTTCTTTTGAATACTATCAATTGACAGTTAGAGCAATTTACAGATTAGTAAATTGATATTTATTAGCCACAAAATGCTACTGTTAATTCCTTTTTGGAGGATTCATCGTAATACTAAAGGGGCTTGGGTCCTTCAGAGGCAAAATACCTTTAGAAATTTGTCTTTATATCGTCCTGCATTACGGCCAGAATTTAATCTTTGGCATTTCTTAGTCATAATTTTTTATATATATATATTTAACACACTAAGCTGGTTAAAGTTGAACCAGGTAACTTTTTAAATAAAAGATCGCAAGAAATATTTAATGAAACAATAGTATAGCAATAGAGAAAGTTTCATGTATCATTTAAAAATTTCAATCAGTTTCAGCGTTTGGGTGAGTTCTCTTTGGGATAAAATAATTATTATTCTGTGACAAGTGTTTGTACTTGCTGTTACTGCTATTATTGGGAAGATATCTTCGCTTGGCCTAAATTTCTTATAAAAGTCATATTAAAATATCTTTGTCTTCTTTTCGTAGGTCCAGAATGATTTTCCTTCTGCTGAAGAAGCATATAATTTCTTTACCTTCAATTTTGATCCTGAACCAGAAAGTATAAAAGCTGGAGCCAGGAAAAGGATTGAATTAAATGAGGAAGAGGAGGCAGAAGAAGAATGTGTAGAAACCCGTGAGGATGAACAAGAGGAAGATGAAACGGTGTGAGCTATAGAATAAATGTTCATATTTTTATTCAGACTTAATGAATTAATTTTAATAACCTAATACAAAATGGCAACTTTTGTTTCCTTACAAATTCTGAAAGTATACTTTCTAAAGATCTTGAATTTAAGAAACAAATGAACTAACAAATGTTTGCACTTGAACCTATAGGATGAAGACGTACGCCTAGTTAAAGATGATGATTTATTCATTATAGGGCAGACAGACGAAGATTTGGTAGTAGTGAAACCTGCCGATTGTGAGAACTACTCTAAGCAAGTGAAAAATGAAAAAGAATTTCTCTTCACTCCCAGCAAGCAACGAGGTGTGAAGACTGTGCTTATCCATTTTGTTCCTGGATTTTGCGTTGCATGACACCCTTTGATCTGCTGAAAAATCTTGTATCACGCTGTCTCTGGCAGTAGAGAGATATTTAATTGCGGTTCTCTGACCCTTATCATCTAGTGAAGTCTGGAAAAGTCTGGCAAAATGGATTACCAAGGAACATGCACACCTCAGCAGGTCACCAGCTGGTACACTAGCAAGTGAACTCAGGGCACATCAGTTGCTCTGGGGTAATTACCTTAGTGCTGTCTATAGTAAATGCAAGATATTTACCCTATGTAACAGGTTGCTGGGTACACACATTTAGGTACTAAGGGTGGCTCATGGACTATACATTATAACTTACACTATTTCTTCACTTGGCCACATCTGCAACTTTTTCCATGTGACAAGTTTGTCAAGAGTCACATAAGTAACATAAGGATTTTTGTGATTCAAGGAGCCTTTTTCCCAAAATACAATTTTGTGAATTGGAAATAAGTTAGTCAACATTGGTCATATCTTTGACCTTTTTGCGTTATTCCCATAGAACTTCGGAGTCCTAAAAAATTGCTTTATAATATCACTTGCTATTTAATATGAAGTGGAAGAAACAGAAATGAGTCTCTCTGGTCTGTACCAGAGTGGCATCAGCTTGCAATGCGATGTCAAAATATTTGACATTGGGTGTCTCTGATTTTTTTGTGTCTCATAACTGAGTTCTGACTGCTTTCAGTGTATATCCACTGTGTTCTGATAAATTTTATTGTAATCCTCAGTATTAATCTCTCCCTATTGCGAGATTGCTCCTTGAAAAATACTGAGCCCGTACACACCAGTGAAATGATCCTGTAGGCAAGCTTGAAAGAATTCCACCTGCTGTTGCTGGACTAACATGACTTTTTATGCATGTTCTTTATTTTTACAAGAGTGGCTTAAGCAAACTAGTAATAGTAGTTCAGATTAATCTTGGTTAAAGTTTCACTTTATATGGGAAAGGCTTAGAAATGTTTGTCTAATCAGTTGGTGCTGCTAAAGGGTTTTTACACTGTTGTACAAGCAAACATTAAAACTAAACTTCACTAAGTTATTTGAAGTCTTTTTTGTTGAGGAAATGTTTAATTATCTGTTTGGAAGACTTGTGACACTTTTATGATAGATTTAAACTGTGGATATGTCCTGATTAAGAAAAGGACATGTTTTGTTTATATATTTATTTGTTTTTTCCTAGTTAGGGAATTATTTCTGACAGCATGCTTAATATGCAGTGCCATTCATTTTAAGAATGGCATAGGCTCTTAGAGAATTAATAAACTACAACTACAAGATACTTTACATGCTTTTCTGTTTAATTTCTCATTAGTGCCCACTTCTGAGAAGATCCCTGGAAACATGCAGCCTAGGTACCTTGAGGATGAGGGTCTTTACACAGGAGAAAGGCCCTTTGTATCACAGCGTAATCAAAATATTTTAGAAAACAGAATACTCAGACAGGAGCAAGTAAGTCTCTGCTACCTTCTTAGTTTTCTTTTACAACCCCTTTATTTATTAGTATTTTATTTTGTTATAGTTAAGTAGGTATGTGGTCACGGTGATTATGGACCTTTACTCTTGAAAATTTTTAGCAGTATCAGATGTCAGGAAATGTGGATTTTTTTGTAGGAGTGTGTTTTAGTGTATCCCAATAGTCAAGAGCACCGCTCTGGGTCTTAGAAAACTGATGCCTCTTCCTGGCTCTCCTCATGGCCCAGTGGGGAGCAAATCACTTCACTTGTCTGTGCCAGAGTTTAATTGCCAGTATAATATGGGTAATCATGATTTAATTTTTTTCTAAAATGCTAGGAGAGCTAGTGGTATGTATAAAGACTTAGGCAAGAGGTGAACATTGTTGTTATTATTTACTAGATCATAACAAAAGGAAGCAATATAGAATGTCTGTTTTCTGTGTCCACTGAAGATAATATGAAGTAATAGAAATTTACCACCACCCACCCTACCACTCCCCTGTTGTAGTTTAACCCCAGATGGCAACTAAGCACGACACAGCCGCCTGCCCACTTCCTGCCCAGTGGGATGGCAGAGAGAATCATAAGGGTAAAAGCATTTCTTGCACACTCCTGGCCTTCTTGCTGGCAAGGCATGAGAAGCTGAAAAGTCCTTGACTTGGTGCTTAGCAACAACTAAAACATGAGTGTGTTATCAACGTGATTCTCATACTAAATCCAAACCACAGTACTATACCAGCTACTAGGAAGAAAACTAGCTCTATCTCAGTTGAAACCAGGACAGGTGGCTTTGGATATATTTTATCCTGCTATATTATTCTCCTATACACACTAAGGTGTGTATAGTTTGGTATAGATTGGAGCTACTATACAGCAGTTGCCCTTTATATTTTGTTATGATTCTATGAATTCTTTGTGGGATAACAGAGGTATTTTTGTGGATCAGATTATGAATATTTGGATCTAAATTTTTTAACTGGCCAACCCAGTTAGTTTTCTGGTTTGCTTTACCATGTTGCCATATCAATGTTTGGTTCTAAGGTCAGCTTAAAGCAGGTGTGGGGATAAGAGGGCAGGCCAGCATATTTCAGCAGCTGCCCTGGCTTAAGCTGCTCTTGAATCCACGTCATGAGAGTAGAGGGATGAGTTAGGACAATGTTTAACATGTGAAGCCATGGATAGCAATTGGTGTGTTAAGATACTTGCCTCATCTGCTTTCATAGATGCTGTTTAATTAGTTCAAATGGACTAGAAGATTTGAGAGGTACTTTGATAAATGACCTCTCTGAGCTGCCATTTAGCAGATTTAATTCTTTGCTTTATGATTTTTATAATCCAATTTAAAGATGTGGGTGGCAGTCTTGTGTAAAACATTATAATTCTTTCAATTTTGGTGATTTAAGAAAACATGACATTTAAACATGACGTGATGTAAGTGTTGGGGTTTTTTTTTCTTTTTTTTCTTTCAAATCTTGAACACAATGTTGAAGGAAAAAATTCAGTATGTTTAAAGTTTGAACAAGGTCTTTTGATTATAGTTTTGGTTATAATTTTGCAAATTATTTCTATATAAAATAAAAACAATATAAAATTATGTTTTTCGTTGTAGGGGAAAGGGTGGTTTGGTGATGATGGCAAAATCTTAGCATTGCCTAATCCAATTAAACAGTCTTCTACTAGGCCTCCAATATGGTCATTTGAAGAAGGCATTGCACCAGAACTTGAAACAGTGTATAGAAAGGTAGGCATATTTCATATGTTGTTTCCTGAGACCCGCTATCCTAGTTCTTTTGCACCAGAAACTCTCGTGAGATGATGGGTTTTGTGCTAAGAATTGTGAGTACTGACTGCTTTTTGGGGTTCCACAGCTGATTTTTAAATGTGGTCTACTTTTTTCAAGTGTATTCCAACTGCATTTTTCTGTTTAAAAAAAAAAAAAAGGCATACAAAAGGATGAAGAGTTTAGCTGGTAGTACTAGTTAAAATAGCACAGTGACAGTCCATGAGGAACTGCTTCAAGCCTGTGAGTCACTAAGATCTCTATAAGGCACCCTTGGATATTCTCATGCTAAAGTAGGGTAGTTCCTATATTAGCACATCTGTAAAGCTCCTCGTGGTAGAAGCTGGTAGACAAACTTGGTGATCAGGACAGAGGTGGTCTCTGCAGCTTAAGGGAGAAATAACTGAAGGGCATATGTATGATGGTTATTCTGTAGTGATAAAACTCCTCCAAAATAAGTCATTACATGCAGTTTGCTCATGTAGTAAGCAACTAATTTTGAGTTACGTTGCTTCAGTTCAGATTTTTTTGTTTTGTTTTTGTTTTTCCCTCGACCACAGCATACCTGCTCTGGCAAACAGCAGTTGCAGTGTGCAGTCAGCACAAATCAAAATAAGTTTCAATTAAAACCGTTCAGGAAGCTTTAAGCAAGATTTAATTTTTCTGCTTGTTAGCACTCTATTACACCCTTGGAAAGACTGTAACTTTTTAGACTTTAAAGTAGATTGCTCTTGTGGGACACACAAGTGTTTCTGCTGCTGTTGAGAGAGATTTGAATGTTGTCCTTTAATTGATGCTAGTTAGAAATAAGCAATTCTCAGGATGCATCCAGTACCACAGAACTATGCAGGGTGTTTCTCCCTAGAGGAAAAGAGGTTGCAGCTTAGATCTTAATATAAATAGGCTGAGAGGGCTTATGTTTGAAGAACATGAATAGTGACATGTAAATACCCAAATCACTGTTGAAAGTCAGACATTAAGCCTAGGGGACCTTTATGGACAGAAGAATAGTTAAAGCATAAGGAATTCAAAGATGTAATTTTAAATATTTTGCTGAGAAACTGAAAGTGGGAGGATCAGGTGGACGTAGTGTGTTTCGTGCTCATTTTACCAGTCCTGTAAAAGAACCGTGCAACAGCTGAATTCCCCTCTCAATCCCCCTTTTTCCAGTTCTTATGAAGGGGCTTCAACAAACACTGCCTAACAAACAACTTCATCTCTTATGGTACTGGAGTATCTCTGATGAATCTCTTCTGAAGAATTCTGAGAGGGGAGCAGCAGCAGTCAGGCAGAAGGCACTGCTAATTCTTTTCTGATTTCAGTAACCTGAGGGTATAAATCATGATTGCCTTTCGGTTGCAGTGTGTTGAAGTAGACTCTTTAAGCTTTGTTGCTGAAAGCTTTCATTGGGCTTTGTTGGTATGAATTTCCCTGGCTTAGAATGGGGAAGCAAAGAACATATTTCCTCTTCTGCACAATCCAAATGGTCTACAAGGAAAGCTGCTCTCTGAGAGCTGGACTGTTTATTTTAGAGCTCAGTTCTAAGAGGAAATAAAGTGATACTAAACCAAAGGTAAAAAGAGAACTAGTGGATTGTTGTTGTTTTTTTGGGGGGGTTTTTTTTGTTTGTTTTGGTTTTTTTTTACAGTTCAGTGTCATTGTTTTAATTTCTCAGCAAAATCTGCAGTACAGGTGGATGACTTCTTATATTGGCCTCATATGGGCTATCCAACTTCTGTTGTGTAAAGTACCTGTGTTGGTTTTATGCCACCCGCTTGTCAATAAAGCAAAGAGGTTACTGCAGAAGACTTTACAGTTTAAGATTCAGTAGTTAGATGTAGGCAATGCTAAACAGATCATTTTCTGTCACAGAATCTCATTGCAAGACAGTTTCTTCAGGACTTGTAAATCTGTTTTATTGGTTTTTTTTCTTTCAGGCAATAAAAATGACAGCTGCCAATCAGTATCTTGTTGGACCTGGAGATTTTCAGGGGCCATTTCAATTGGATATTGATATTTCTGGACTGATATTTACCCATCATCCCTGTTTTAGCCGTGAGCATGTGTTAGCAGCTAAATTGGCTCAGTTATATGATCAGCATTTAGCAAGAAAACAGAAGAATCTTACCAAACTCCTCACAGACAAGGTATTTCTGTTGCGTTGTCATAGCTTATTGAGACAGTGATGTGACAGTTTAAGGTAAAAGCTGAATTTGTTTCTTCAGAGTAGAGTGATGAAATTCTAATGTATGTAGTGAATGGAATTTTGTCAGAAGACAGATACCTAAACATTTCACCTAGGTTGCTGTGTGTTCAATGCAGAATTGCATTTTTAAGATTATTGATTTCTTTGATCTATTTCAAATGAACTCTATGCAGGTTCTGAGGTAAAGGGAACATAATTGTTAGAATACAATGACATTTGCATACTATTCCTTAGAGCATCCAAAATGTTTTCCAGGGGATGACAGTTAAGACTTTACAGGATTGTGTACACTGGCTGTGACAGGCAGACAGCAAAAGACAGTATTTGAGGATGGAGGGAAATTAGTGAAGTTTAGTTTCTGTTGTTGAATAAAAGTAAAAGGAAGCAGTTTAATTTCACCAAATCCTACAAAAATTGATGACTCATTTTCAGATATATATCTGTGATAAATGCTGTGTTTTGAATGCATGCTGTTGTCACATTTACTGTGTCACTCTTGTGACATAGCAAAACTCTTGGCCAAAGGTAGACTCTTCTGTTCCAGGCTCTGTTACTGACTTGCTGGGTGACCTTGGCTGAGCTGCTTACCCGTTACATGCCATCACTCTTCCTCCATCTGTACATTGGAAGTCATGGTAGTGGTCTCCTCTGGTGTAAATTTGTACATGAACATTAGGCATTGTTAGTACATTTCTGATATCATCAGGGCACACAAAAATATTTTAGAGCATGTTAAAATGCTTTAGAAATCTGCAAGGATAACAATTCTCTAGAAATGTGAAGTAAATATTATGATACAACATAGCTCTATGTAGTAGGGCTGGTCTGTTAAAAAGTAGTTTGCTTGTTAAGTACATATAAACTCAGATTTCTGTAATTAAAGGTGGTGATGATTCTCTACCTTAAAGGGCTGTTATAAGGGAAAAATAATCATTGTGTACAAGGTCATTTTTATAGTACTGTAATGAGAGTCAGTAGGTGCTGTACAGATACTTCTGAACTTGGCTGTAAAGCATTAGGTTATAGTTCTAGTGCTGGACAAATATTTCATACAGTGTCTCAAAATATTTTTTTGGTGTACTTTAGTCTGTCACTGCTTCTGAAGGATTTGCTTTAGCTTTCCATGAAACAGTGAAATTCGCTGGAGCACCTCTCCTGTGAGGACAGGCTGAGAGAATTGGGGCTGTCCAGCCTGGAGAAGAGAAGGCTTCGGGGAGATCTTATAGCGGCCTTCCAGTACCTGAAGGGGCTACAGGAAAGCTGAGGAAGGACTTCTTACAAGGGCAGGTAGTGATAGAACAAGGGGAAATGGCTTTAAGCTGAAAGAGGGGAGGTTTAGATTAGACATTAGGAAGAAATTCTTTACTGTGAGGGTAGTGAGACACTGGAACAGGTTGCCCAGAGAAGCTGTGGATGCGTCCTCCCTGGAAGTGTTCAAGGCCAGGTTTGATGAGGCTTTGAGCAGCCTGGTCTAGTGAAAGGTGTCCCTGCTCATGGCAGGGGGGTTGGAACTCAATGATCTTTAAGGTCCCTTCCAACCCAAACCATTCTATGATTCTACTGTTCCTTATTTTCTGTCTTCTCCTAGCCAGTCCTTTACATTCTCTTGTCTTCCCAGCCATGTATATTTTTACATTCTCCTAAACTAGGTGTCCATCTTCCATGCAATCATTTGATGCCTATCTTCAAATCTTAGTTGAAGGGGTGGCCTCTTGTCTCAACAGTGTGGTTTCAAAACAGCATTTGAACTGTGCCGTTGTTTCCAGTTCTGTTTCATCCTTAGACCTTCTCTTCTTTCAGTTGTTACATGCAATGTGTTATGCTTAAATGCTTTGTTGCAAGGTGCCCAGGTTCTGTAAGGCACTTATCAAATCCACAGTCAGCTCATTTTTGGGTTTTGTTTATTGATTTTCTAGGGTTATCTGTAGTGGCCCTTCCTAGTTGCAATAAAACCTTTTATAGAAGGTTCTGGTTTTGTCAGACTCACCGTTTTTCCCTACTACTTTTATTTGAGAGCTTTCAGAATCCCTGGATTAGTCTTGTTTAGATCTGTTACAGTAATCAGAGGTAATAAGTCTCCCTCATATGTCCAGGGATCCTTATTAGAATTTAATCTTGAAGAATCAGCACCTTACAGACATGGCAAAACCCTGTAAATACAGAATCAGGACAGTTCAGAGTTTTCTGTGATGTGGTAACTAGCTCTCTCCTGTCAAGGTGCATTACACTGTATGCCTCACAAATGTCAAACCATGTGTTAATTGTTTGTTTGTTTAAGCTGCATGCTTTGAGGAGTGCTGTGCAATGTAGTATAGACAGTCGTGGTGCTGGTGTTCCCAGTCCTGTGGCGCAACAGAGCATACCTGAATACAAAATTGAGATCAGGTAGGTATGGATTCATTAAATCATTGCTTCTTAAAACTGTATTCCTTTTTTTCCTTTCCATGCTGGTATAGAATGTGATCCATGTCAGACTTTTAAATTCTGCTGTAAGTTGCTCTAGAAGAATTCTGAGAGCTTAAGAGTTCTTACTGATAAGTTGAGTAAAAAAAAATTACGAAGAAAAAATAGCTTAGGCTGAAATCTTGATTCAAAAGTGGTCTAATTTGATTACCTTTTATTAATTACTTAGTAACTATTTACTGGTGTGTTTTGCACAATTAAATTTAATTAAAATAATATTTCGATAGACATCAGTTGGATACATGAAGCTCTCACAACAATGCAAGTGGCAATTTTTTGAATAGAAAAAAGCCCTGTTTTTTTCTATCATCTTCCTCACTACACAAGTGCTCTTGATTCACTTCCCATTCTTAGGTATTTTGGCCATGTTTTTGCCAATGGGTTAATATACATAAAATGGTAGAATTTTGTTTTACAAGGTTACAGTTATTGTTCTTGGACTTTAACTGGGTAGTAAAAATATATTGCAGTTTTTGGCTTGGTAGTGAAAGTTTTGGCAGATGGACAGTGGTGAGCAGTAAGTGTAAGCAATATGATAAAAATTAAGTTATTTTGGAGATCTGTGCTGAACAATCTTTAAACTAGTAGATAATAAAAATCTGAAAGTTTTTCACTATGAAAGTAGGCAATAATGTATTAATTTATATAAACAGAAGTTTAGACATGTAACACAATATGATAACACAATGGTAACAAGATAGCACAATATTTAAAAAATCATCTTTAAAAAAAAACCATTCTGCTGTCAGCCTTGAAATTTACATCCGCTTAGCCTCACACACCCGCTCATTACTCTTAGTTTGGGAGTTACTTCTTCACATTTTCATCTGCACAGAGTCTACACAGAAGTCTATAATGTATTATTTTATGCTGAAGGACAAAGTCTTCCTTCCATTGAAAAAGGAGTAGCTTTTATTAATATTTTCTTAACATATCTGCTAGAGGATGAGGAGCAGGAGGTGTGCAGTTACCATACAGTACCTCGGGGACAGGAACTCTCACCAGGGAAAACATGAGAATAGTAATGAGAAGATTCACCTTGGAAGATGATTCTTGGATTTTGGCACTAGCTCTGAGGCTTGCTTGATAGTTAGTTCTAATTAAATAGAATATTCCTCCTGGATATTGTTTTTGTATATTCTGGATAGGTCTTGGGGGCTTTAGTTTAGTATCACACTGTTATGAATCAGGAGAAACTGAGCCAAAATCAGTGAGATCAGTGTTGCATAAGTAATGTGAGATGAGCTTGGCCAGGATTATTCTAGGGCTTTTCATATCTGTAGTTCTTTCTGGCTACAGCTCTATTGTTGGAAGCTGTTATACATGTGAGGCTCAGATGGGCTCAAGAATTTTTACTGTCATGATGTTTAAACTAACTTGGACCACTTATATTGGTAAAAACATCTGACCTGCCTTGTCTCTCTTTTCACATTGCATTTCCCTGATGGTCAATGTAGTACACTCATGAGAAGTTACAGATGTGGAGAGTGTAGCATGGAAAATAATCTAATTGTTTCCTCCACCCTCCAATAACATAAAAGATGTGTACTCTTTGCTATCTGACGATCAGAGCTGCAGTTTTCCATCTGTTTGAGGAAGAAGTGTCACCTGAATGCAGAAAACTTGCAAATTAGCAATTTCAGCGGTACTGTCCTCATTTGCTGAGGAGGAAACCAACATATGCTGCAGTTTGCAAGTTTCAGGCTCTTCTGGCAGGTGTATTTTAGCAGAGGTGATTCTCTTCTGAAAGGTGCTGCTTCCAAATTGAATACATTAGATAAGTGTAATTACTGACTGGTATGTTCCTCATGTCTTTAAGCTTTGTCTTCTATCTTCACCTGGAGACAAAGAAAGAAAGGTTGTTAAGCTGCATGGATAAGTAATATTCAAACTGCTAGCTACTGAAGTAAAGAAATTACTCATAGTGCTTTCTGGAAAGTCTGTATTTCATCTTTATTGTTTTTACTAAATTTGTTTATGCTTTTAAATAATATATGATTTATTTATTCTCTTTGCTCTAACTCAGCCTCCCTGTCTTCTATATTCTCTGAGTATTACAAGGAGTAATGTGTTAGTTTACACCTTCTCTCTCTCTCCTTTTTTCTTTTTTTTTAATCACATTATTTTTATTAGACATGTTTAGCTACCAAGGTAGTGCTGGAAACAGTCTATGCTTGTGACAGACATTTGCATCAGAAGTGTGTGTTGGTCATTAAGTGCTAATGAATAGCTCTTTTACAAACAGATTAGAGGGTGGAAATGTGAAATACCAATTCTGAGGCAAAAAAAAGCTCTGTTCATTTTGTTTGTGTTAAGAATCTTGTAGGGCTGTCAAAGGACTTACATTACTTCATATATTACTATATTACTTCATCTCTGCAAGTCCTTTTTACTGGAGCTACATGTTAGGTTTAAAACATATTTTGTAGTGTATAATTGTAATAAGCATTACTTCATAGCAGCAGTGTAGGTTTCCTGGGCTGTTATTTACATGAATTGACTTTAAAATGTTTTTAATGGTGTACAGCTGTAATAAGCATTTCAGAAAACTTTGGAATCTCTACAGAATGAACTGTAATTGAAGTCAGATTGTCCAAAATGAAAGAGACTAGAGTACAGAAGGAAATAAAATCCTGTCATCTTCAAGTCTGGGTTTTATGCTCCTTGGATTTAAATCGCTGCAGCCATCAGTCAGATTGAAACACATATAACTTGGCTTTTGTTATTTTGTTATTGTACAACTGAGTTATACAAGTCTGATTGATTTTTCTATATATATAAATATATATATTTTTTTTTTTTTTTTCCATAGGCAAACCAGAAGACTCCGTGATGCTGAACAAGAAAAAGACAGAATGTTGCTTAAGACCATTATAAAAGTTTGGAAACAAATTAAATCCCTCCGCGACTTTCAGAAGTTTACTAACACACCCATGAAACTTTATTTGAGGAAGTATGTTTTGATAACACTTTTTGTATTTCATTTGCTAGCAGTGGAGTTTTCTGATATGAAGGGTGCAAAAGTAGGAATTTGAGTAGTGTCTGGCACTGGCTGAGCCTGCCACTATTATTTTTGAGTTTGAGGAGGAAAGAAAGTTAAAATAACAAGTAACAAAGGAATTTCTAGAGGCTAATGAGTAGAGAAAAAGTAATTGCATTCATCCTGGATGGTAACTATCTGCTATCAACTCCTAGACTATCTATGCTAGTATTTTTAAATAGAATACACTTTAGATATAATGAAATTAACTCATGGAGAAGTAGACTTATTATGTTATATATTATAGACTTAATTGTAGCCTTTATATTAATTTATACATGTTGATAACTATGGTTTTGAAGGGAAGAGGTTGACCAGACATTAGATGAAAAAGCATATGAAGCAGAAATTCAGGCTGAGATAAATGAATTATTGGAAGAATATATGGAAGAATATGAAAAGAAAATGGAGGAGTATAAAACTGAGCTAGAAGAGTGGAAATCCTGGAAGAAGATACAGGTTTGTTTAAATCATTCAGTTTAAAAAAAAAAAAAAAATTACTAATTGTGTTGAAAACTTTGTCCTTCTATTACTGAAAAAAAAAAATCTATTTCAGGATAGTTATGCATAAATTTTGTAATGTATTTGGATACATTCTGTCTGCTTAGAATTTGTTAGTAAATTAATTGTTAATTAAAAAATATAAATGTGCTGGGTTTTTGTGGAGCATTGTCTTCCTGCTATTGATTTTCATCACTTCATCAGTTCTTTCTTTAAATTTAATAGTTTTGCAGCATTCCCATTAAATTTATGTCCTTCTTGCAAAGGCTGAATTTTGTGTGTGTGAGTGGTGAAGCAAAATAATTATGGGGAGTTTCTAATGAACAAGCAGTTGATGTCATCTCATGTAAATTTATGTTCAGGAATGTCCCAAAACTGAAAAAAAAAAATAATTAATAATCTAGTTTTTACCTCTGAAAAGCTTTATTGTTAATAATCTGTACTGTAGTTAAGGTCTTAGTTGTGCTTCAAGGGGCTACTGACAAATACAGGAGCTAGAACAATACACTGCAACAGGATGATCTTTGAAATAGCCTGTGGCAGTGCCAGCAAAATCAGACTTGCTTTTTCATAGTTATGTGCCAATGTACTAGATACCCCATGGTAAAAGGGATTATACTTGAATGTAATTACTGCCCAGCACATTGTGGGGTTTCAGATACCAAAGCAGAATAAAGTTAAAGGAAATGCTTAAAATACAGTTTTCAAGAAACTAGTGCATCTGCTGACACTTTTATGGAAAGGGTTTTTTACATAGCATCATCTATGGAAGGCACTTAAGATGTTTGAGGGGAGGCTGGTATGTTGGTATTAGAACTTCCTGTTACCCGAACACTAGTGGGCACATGACTTGGTAGTATCATGTCAATTCACTTGCAGGATACGATGAATAAATGTAAACCTTAAAATAAAGGTAGATAGTCTTGAGCATTGATCCAAATGGGAGCTGTTCATCTACCCCTAGCCAGTTATGCCTTCACAGTTACCATGGTGGGTGGTTCCAGCCAAAGCTGCTCTCAGCATCTTTTTATTGTGTTACTCACAAACTGTATTGAGACTGAGTTGATTGTGGTTCTTTCCCTTTAGAGTGAAGAGTGGTACACAGACCTTCCTTTCATGCCCTTCCTTCAATAAGGAGTACTTTATTTTATTTTACTCAAAGTACTTTGTTAGTTAATCACTGTTGGTATCTTACTAGCACAGACCACATGAACTGCTGTTAGTAGTTCTGTTAGTAGCAGTTAGTGTGAACTGCTGTTAGCAGTGATCACGTCACTGCTCTGTTAGTAGTTAATCAATCACTGCTGCTGGTGTTTTACTAGCCCAGATCACATAAATCTAAGGAAGACACTTAAGGTAGAAAAGACTAGATAAATTTAAAAGGAAATATTAATAAAAATATGTGAACAAGTTTTTTGGCTAAATACTTCAGTTAGTGAGGAGAAACTGTTTGCTCTCCTCATCTCCGCCTCTTTTGCTTGTGTTTTGAATCGTGAAGTGGCTGGTGCTTCCAAGCAAGCTGTACTTCCAAGTAATCTGTAAGTCTGCAGAAGGAGGAACTTGCTTGCACTTCTTTAAAGCTGAACACGCACATGAACACTGGAGTTCTGCAGTTTAGGAGATACCGAAAGGCATGTGGTGTTTTGTTTCTTTATTCTGCTGTTTGGCATAGAGGAAGGGAGGGGATCATTCTGCTCATGCTAAAGATACTGCTAAGCTAAAAAAATGTGCTCCAAAGTTTGTGGCACATGTGCATTCACTTTGTCAATGCATATGCAGACAATACATCTTGAAGAACTGTGGCTACTGGTTGAGTAACCTTCCTTCAATCCTAAGAGAATGCACATGGTAGCTCAGGCTAAATGAGAAGTCACCTGCTAGCTAGAATGTTCAATAAACATGTTTATTTTGTAAGTTGATTGGGAAGGTTAAATAAATGTTTTGTTTGAAGCACATTATATTTTTGAAGCATGTGAATGGAATGCATTGCTGAATTCTGAGTCTGAAGTACTACTATAGAATGAGAGAAATCTTATTTGTGTGTGCGGTGATTTTAAAATTGTGAAGTCATTTGTCATACATGTTTATCACTTGTGAATCAAGAGAACAAGAGAAAAAAACTCTACTGATTGAAGCAAGTTCAGGAAGGACATTATTATTTTTCTATGCAGAAAGACAAGAAGAAAAAGAAGAAAAGAGACATTCATGAAGAAGAATTAGTAGAAGATTGTGACCTTGCTGAGGAACGTGTAAAACCCATCCCACCTAAAATGGCCAATCACTTGGAAATAGAGCAGCAGGTTAGAGAAAAAGCTCAGAACTGCAGAAGGAAACCTGGAGAGCCTTCTCTATTTCCTGAACTGGTCCTGTCAGGAAGCATAACTCCAACTGAGCAGTGTCCTCGGTAAGATAAATGTTGGCCTGTAAATGACTTTGTTCCTGATTTTCTGCTGTTATTCATTGATTGTTTGTACAGCTTCAGAAACATGTAGTCACCATTCTCTTTAGCCTAGCGATAAAACGTGTGCTTCTGAAGCTGGTAAAACTTAATTCATTTTCAAGTCACTTGTAACCCTGTACATACTGGGCTTGGAGAATGCATGTCTACATATTGCCTTGGAGCTTTCTGATGTTCCTTTAGCATCTGTATAGAACAGTGGTGTGTACATAAAGAAGTTGTTTTCAGCATAAAGTCTAGGTCACTTCTGACAGTACCACTCCCACTAGTGAGTCCTTTACACCAGGTCTGTGCTATAGTCAACAAAGGGAAAATAAAGAAATTGTGTAAAAAAACCAGAGATTTCACTGTGGATAAAATAAATACATTTCCTTGTTTGTATTACTTTTCATATTTACATGTGCAATTTAACATACATCTAGCAGATTTTAGTAATTTAAAAACTGCTTTGTTTTATACTTTCTCAGCAGATAACCTCATCGAGGAATATTGCTTGGTTATTCTACTCCCAGTGACCAAAAACTTCAAAATCTTAACTCAGTTTGATACTGTTTGTTGTGCTTTGGAGGAAGGGAGTAGAAGGCAATTTTGTTTCCCTAAATAACTCACTTTCCATGGAGGTGGCTTTAGTGGATCTAAAATTTGACCTGTTTATTTTTAAATCATTTTATATTTATGAGACGATAAAACAACTGTTAAGTAATAGTTTTAAAGTCATTCCTGTGTAATGACATTTTTTTAGAAGAATACCATCTTTATTTAGATGACTTCTGTTTCCCCTTGAGTAATCAGATTCTCATTAAAAAATAACCAAAGAATTAAAATGTTATTAAAAATTATATGACAGCTTGTTTGACATATTTACAGAGCAGAAGTTTTGCGACGAGAAGATGTGAAGAAACGCTCTGCATTTATAAAAGTCCTTTTCAACTCCAAAGAAGTATCAAGGACTGTTACCCGACCAATAAGTTCAGATTTCAGAGTTCACTTTGGACAGATTTTCAATTTACAAATATTCAGTTGGCCAGAGAGTTTGAAACTACAGGTAGATAATAATTTATCTTAGTAACTTTTAAAAAGATAATATGAAATGTAACAACTCCTGTAATGCTTGTATTTTGCTATATGATAGTGTTTTAAAGAGTGAAAAACATGTGAAAGACTGTTTGTAAATTATCAGTCTTATACCCCTTCCCTGCTTATCCAGTCATAAACTTTCAATTTTGCTTTTGCTGCTACATTTTAGGTGCTTGTGCTTATATATATATATATATATATATATTTATATATGTGTGTGTGTGTGTGTGTGTATATATTTTACATATATATGTATTATATATAACATGACTGTGGGCTGCATGGGGGAAATTAAATAATTGAGACATGATTAAATATGTTAGTGGAGCAGCCTTTTAATTTAGAAGAACTAATTTATGTTGCAGGTAAACTTGCCAAAATGGTCAAAACATCATTGTCCACACAGTAAAATCATCATGTTTGCTGGAGTAGGATAAGAAAAAAAATAATTGCCAGTAATGTCCATAACTGCGCTTGACTTGATCCAACAGTGCAGTTAAGTCAAACCACCATCACCACATTCCAAGTATGAATTAATGAACAAGTCACATTAATAATTGTCAGAGCCAGTACAATATATTTTTAGGAGAAACACAGTCAGGATCCTACTTACCCTGTTAGATAACTTCTCCCATTAGGTACCTCATCACTGGTAGTTCAGTGGAGGGTGTACACCCCTTGCCTGCTCCATTTATGTTAGGCACAAATTGAAAGGGAAAAGGAATAAAATCTTCTTTGATTAAAAATATCTAAATGGTGAAATCACTGACATCACTCTGAGCCTACAACTGTCAGGGAAAGAGGGAAGCAGGCTGCAGAACTGTCGGAATGGAGACTGTGTGACTTACCCCACTTTTTGTGGTAAGGGAGAATTAGTGAGGCAGAATGCCTCTGGCAACTTCACCCTATGCCAGTGACTATCATAGTCAGTTGAATATTGTACAGTGATGCTCTTTAAAGCCTACAGTTCATCAAACTATTCTCAGATGCATTAGAAAGGCCAAGAGGTTATACTTTTAAGAAGAATTAAGACCAAGTTAGCTGCTGGTAGCTGAAAGGTCTGCTAATTGGATATTTTGGGAAGTAAATAAATACAGTTGCCTCGAATTATCTTCTCTTTAAGTCATAGTAAAATCTTTTGTTCAAATACCCTACAATATGTTTTCAACTTCTCATGAATACATGTGTACATTTTTTTACTATGTCTGTCACCATGATTTTTTTCTAGATATATGAAACAATGGGTATAAGCAGCACCACCTTGTTGGCTGAAGTGTTCATACCTGTTCCTGAGACTACAGTTCTGACAGGCAGTGCTCCTATGGAAGAAATAGAGTTCAGCAGCAATCAGCGTGTGATGTTGGACCATGAAGGAGTTGGGAGTGGTAGGGACTCTCAGTCTTTCTTGGTTCTATGTTTCCCATTTTGCTGAAAACCATGTAGCAGTAACAGGCTTGCTTAAGTTTGAGAGTAAATTCTGTTAAGAGCATTTACAGCTTCTGTAACTGAATCTTGTAAATTAGTCATAATTCTGATTGTTAAAATTTGCTGTGGAATTTTTGTCTCTTACCAATTTTAAGCTATATATAATACAAATGTTTGTGTTTATTATTTGGCTTATAGCATTAGTGGAGCTCTACTAGCTATAGAAGGTGTGTGGGATTTTTTTTAGTAATCAGGCCTCTGACACTGCAGAGCAAGCAGATAGCTCCAGTGGTCTTAAATGTTTCAAGCCACTGAAGAACTGTCTATGTAAGTGTATATGCAGAGTCATTTTTTGCTTTCCTATATGCTTTGTTGACATCCTGCAATACATTTTATACCTGGAACTTGAGAAAGGTAAAATGAAGGAGAGATAGGAAAAGGGGAAACAAGAATAATACATAATGGCCATGGAACTTTCAAGTTTATGTAATAAGTTGGATCAGCATTATGAGATGACTGACTTGCATAAATTTTCCATATATAAAACACAGATCAAGCTAGAGCAGAAGAACTGATAAAAAGCTCTGGAAGAAAGAAATATGGTAAAAAAAAAAAATCATTACAACAAATGTATGTGTAAATGTCACTGACCATGATGACTGTATATACAATTGCGTATCACAAAGCTTTAGGGCTGACTTTTCAGTCATGTGTAATTCTTTTGACTCTGAATTTCTGTTTCATTAATGAGAGTATGCTGAATTTGAAGACTACCAGAAATATTAAATAGTGTGTATCTGTGAAGGAAAGAACAGCCTTTGGCATAGCTTTTCCTTCCAACCCAAATGGAAAGCCTTTCTGTAGGTGGACTGGAATCTTTCTCTCCTATTGTAGACCAAAGTTCTTCCCCACAGTATGCAGCAGAGTTAAGTTGTTTAACATTACTCCATTTATATAAAGGCACAGGTTATTTGACTGCTTATTTTCGGGAAGTATTTTAAAGAAATGTTTAGGCAACTGCATAAATATACTACTTTGAAGTTTTTTTTCCCCCTTCATAGGTGTGTCCTTTTCATTTGAAGCTGATGGTAGCAACAAAATTACTTTAATGACCTCTGGGAAAGTATCAAATAGTGTCTCTTGGGCAGCTGGAGAAAAAGGAATCCCCTTAATTCCTCCAGTATCTCAGCAAAACACAGGCATTCCAAGGTAATATGACACAAATTTTCAGTGATTCTGGGAAAACTGATTATACTAGTATTTAAAAAAAAATAGACTTACTTTCCTAATGAAGAATTTTCACAATCTTTTTCCTTAAATTTAGATACTTTGTGCTGTAACGCCTGCAGATGTCTTAGGGTACACATTTTTGGTAAATAAATTTTAGTTAGAAGTTTCATCTTTTAGTATATGATTTATAGACAATATTAAAGTTAAACTCAAGATGATTAATTCACTATTATGATTTTCTAATAGATGTTTGTATTGGCATGGAACTTTACTGTAATCATTTTGCTAAGAACAGAAGCTCCAGCTCTTTCTTATTCAAAGTGCATTTGGGGGGGCTATTGGGACATACACGTTAAATGCCTTTTCTGTAATTAATGCTGAAAATTACACTATGAAAGCAGTAGAAGTTATTGTGGGAGCTTGACACTGTTAGTGGCTTAATCAGTAAAAAATTATCTTCTGTCAGATCATTCCAAGATTGGAGTGATCTTTCATGATTTTTCTCCATCAGAAGCCTGTTGACCTGCAGAAATTAGTATATTATTCCATTCAAAACAATCTGATTTGCCCTGTGGCTGCAAATTGGATTTTGTAGTTTATTTGTCAATTTTGTTACTTTTATATAATTCTGGTAAAGTCAAGGAGATGGTACATAAAGTCTGCTTTTGTAATATCCTCAGGTAACATCACTGTAAAACCTTAAGAGTTTTCCCACACTTACTAAAACTGAGCAAGTACCTCTTCCAGCTGATTAGGTTCTGTCAGATTTTTATTTATTTAGAGGCTAGTCATTCATCCAAATCACCCTGTTACTATTTTTGACCCAAGCTGCAACTGTTAAAGTAATTTGCTGATCAGCATCTTAGTAACTTGCTGACTTTAGTGAGACTAGAATGGCATGCGTTTAAAACATAAGGATGCATTCCCAAAGGCTAACTTTAAAGTTGGGAGACTAATCACTGTAGTAAATGGAAAAATAGGGAATTTCAGAAGGAGGTTAGCTGTAAAACACTCTTCTTTGAATCACCCTCTAGAGATGAACAGCCCTCTGTGACTTTCCATTGTCTGTTGTGAAAGTCAGAGACAAGATTATCATGCCTAAAGTTAGTTTTTGTGCCCATTAGCTTTTCAGCCCAATTGTGATTCAGTGTGCATTTGTTCAAGTCTGTGATAAAGATATAACCTTGATGTTACTGCTTTATCTGCTGCTCCAGTAATTGCTGGATATTTGGCTGATTCTAACCAAGCTCGAGAAAGATCTGTAAGTTCTTAAAGCTTTCTTGAAAATATTCAGATAAGTAGAGAACAAAGACCCAAATTAGCACACCTAACGAGAAGGGGCAGCATCCACCTTCTGTGGTATTTGGCAAACAACATGCGTGTCCTGGTGTGTTGGGTTTACATGGCAAGGTTTTGGTAGCGGTGGGGCTACAAGGGTGGGTTTTGTGAGAAGATGCCAGAAGCCTGGCCAGCAAGTCAGTGTAAATGGCCTCTGGACTACCTACTGTGAACACCAGAAAGCGAGCAGGAACATTCAAAGGATGAGGAGTGGAACCAGGACTTGTAGTGTCAGGGAGGACCAAAAGCAGGGCTGTGTCACAAAGGAAAAGGCTGCAAAGGGTGTTCCAGCACAGGCAGTGCCCTCACCAGCCACCTTGCAGTCCTGCAGGAGCTGAGCATGACAGGCAGAGTGCTGGCAGCAGTCCCAGACATGGCCCAGGGATGAACTGGGCCTCAGGGTCTATCCAGAAACATCAGGGAAGGGTGCAGAGACCAAGGTTACAATGCAGGTCTGAGAGAACCATCCAGGAGACAGGTGAAAGACAGGATTTAAGACCTAGCGCAAGCAAGAACTGTACATCTGAAGTTATTTTCAGTATGGATTGTCAGAACTTTTCTGTTAACTTTCATGTTGTAAGGTAACTTATCATCTTACTTCCTAGTAATCAGCAACATGGAGCAGTGTAGGTATATTATAAACGTATCAATAAGCACTTTATTACCTTGTACAAAAGCTCCCTTCCACCAGTTCCTTCGTATTTCCCCTTTCCTTTGTATTGCATCATTCCCTCAGCTGCATAGCCACAACTAAGAACTGTGTAGTGGGAATTACTATTCAGGTTGTGGGGAGCTTTTTGTTTTTTTCTAAGGTTGTTTTAAATACGTTTTTATATTGCTAAATCCTATGTGTTTTAGGTATAAGTTCTGTCAATTCTGTCTTTTTAGCACTTTAAAAAATATTGATGCTATAGCATCCATTGGCACATCAGGCTTAACTGACATGAAGAAACTTGCTAAGTGGGCAGCGGAAGCAAAACTTGATCCAAATGACCCAAACAATGCAGCTCTGATGCAGCTGATCATGGTAGGTGGCTTTTTCAGAGCTGTAGGGCTGATGGGGCCGTGAAACACCTAGTCACCGGTACCTTCTCAGGCAATCTGCCTGCATGCCAGGGATGTAGGAGCATTTGAATCTGTGATGGACGTACTTGTGTCAGTGTTAAGAAGCAAAGTGTCTGTTAAAAATGTGATTTATTAATGAGTATGATTTATTAATCCATTCAGTAGTATTCTAGTGGCAAAAAAAAGGTATAAGGGAGTATGCAAACTGATTAATTTATAAATAAAAACCAAAACAAACCCAATGGATTTTGTTGTTTTCTTAAAGTGCAGGTGCATTCCCAGTGTTCTTGTATGGTATTAAATAGGAACTTGCTCATTAATGATAATTGGACAAAGAGATCTAGTGTACTGCAGAAGTTGGGACTTTTTTAAACATCAAATTGAGGAGCTGTTTACATAGCTGAGGTTGTGTAAATTAATCATCTTTACCATATAGCTTCCTAGGCTACTCTGCTGTCTTATAGTTTTCCTACTCTTTAATGTTGTGTTTATGTTATGAGGAAATAGAATTTTATTGTATTCTTAAGTGTATAGTCTCATATACTTCACTCAACAAAAACCTACTTTAAAACTCGGAGTGTTTCAGTCTCAGTTTGATCCATCTCAATTGCTTTTGATTGAAGTGAGCAACCTTGCAGTATGTGTGTAAGATGAAAGTTATTCCATGGACTTCTGTCACTTCGTATGAAAAGGTTAATAATTTTTTTACTACTTTAGGTTGCCACGAGTGGAGAGGCACACGGTCCTGATTTCTTCAGATTGGAACAGTTGCAGCAAGAATTTAATTTTGTTTCTGATGAGGAATTTAATAGATCAAAGAGATTCCGACTCTTGCAGCTCAGAAATGGGGGCGTGGCAGAGTTCCGAAACTACAAGCAGGTCCCCTTACGGGAACGAGAAATCAGTGAGAAAATCTTCCAGGTAGAATGTTATCTGACATATTTCTTTCTAGTTTTAATGCTAATAATATTTGACTTGCAATTAAGTCAATGGGTGCCTTAAAGAATGTACAGCTATGCTGATGAGTAAAAAATGAGAATCTTATTCCTTCAGTCTTTTCTGGTATTATTTTAATCTAAATAAGATAACTTCCTTCCAAGGCAGTGTTTTTACAGCTGTACTGTGGGAGGTGAAAAATACAGCACAGCAGCTACTATAGACATAAATATTCTAAGACACTTTTTTTTTTTTAAAGGTAAGAGACTTTTTTTTTTTTTAAAAGGTCATTTCAAATATAGAAAGGTAATATGACTAATGAGAATTAAAACCTTCTTATGTTTTTCTACAGCCTATGTTGCGGGTTTTTTCCGTTTTAGTATATTGTTCCAATTAGCTTACCCTGTCCTTGCCTGTCTGTTAATTACCTTACTGAAATGCAATGTGTGCATTTTTTACTTGGGTCACACTTCAATTGTTTTTAATCTCAACTCCATTATTAGTATCAAGTCACGCAATCATTTGTTCTTTAACATTTCATGCAGCTAAGGAGCATTTTAGTGTGTTCATTCCTTAGCAGGATAAGAGTAATCTCAGATTCTGGCAACTGCTGCTTTGTCTCTACTTCTTCTTACATAAATTTATTTTAAAAATTCCTTTCTTCCATTTCTTTTGGATTATATATTTTTCAAAGATATTTATTAATTCAATCATGTCTGTCTCTCTACAAAAATAAATATTTTTCCTTTTTAAATTTTAGATTAGTTTTGTATTTTTTATTTAAAGATTGTTGCAACATCTTTAATATACATTTCTGATCCAGTTGATTTCATGGACTAACTTTGTTCATTTCATGTTATCATTCAAAATTGAAAACCATTGTTTAAGAATTGTTTTTGGGTTTTTTTCATTAAGGGTAAATTAGATAAACCCATGATCACCCATTCCAAGTTCACTTTATAGGATGTGATCTTCAAAACCAAGTTTAAAGTGGTATTGTTCCTAGTTGGTTTACTAGCTATTTGGCAAAGAAATCTGAAAATTCAGAGAATTGTGGAAATATTGTTTGGAAAATATTGTCTGGAGGTCATCTGGTCCTGCTTTCCACGGAGGTGGTGGAACTGTTGCCAGCACTAGATGAGGTCAGCTGTGTATTTGTCTAGCCAAGTGTTGAAAACTTCTAAATGGGAGATTCCACAGCCTTTCTGGATAACCTGTTCCAGTGCTGCACTATTCTTCTAGTGATAGTTAAAAAACAAAACCAAAAAAACCCACCAAAACAAACATGTCCAATCTGAGCCTTCCAAGTTGTATTTAATGGCTGTTTTCCCTTGTCTGGAACTACAGAGATGAGTTTGGCACTCTTTTCTTTGTAACTGCCCCTCAAATAGTTGTGGGCAGATATTGGATTGCTTATTAATCTCTTCCTTACCAGACTAAGTTGAACACCTTGTCCAGTACAAGAAAGACTGGACTGGACTGCAAGAAAGTCCAGCACAGAGCTACCAGAATATCCACAGGGCTGGAGCACATGATGTACAAGGAGAGAGTGAGAAGACTAAGTTTGTTTTGGCCTAAGCAGGCAAGGCTAAGGGCGTATGTTATTGCTTCCTTCAGGTACCTAGCAAGACGGTGCAGGGACAGCAGAGTGAAACTCATCTTGGAGGCTGGACGATAGACACAAGTTACTCCCAGAGAAATTCCAGTTAGATATAATTAAAACACTTTTCACAAAGAATATATTCCAATTCTAGAACACGTTGTCCAGCAAGTTTGCAGAATTACCACCTCTAGAGATACTGAAAACTCGACTGTTGAAGGCCCTGAGCATCCTGGTTGGAGTTGTTCCCTCTCTGAGTGAGAGTTTGGATCAGCTGACCACCAGAAAACTCTTCGTACCTACATCATTCTCAGATTCAGACCTCCTCTTGTAGGTCATGTACTCTAGGCCTCTGACTGTCTTAGTTGTCACTTAATGGACCCCATCCAGTTTCTCCACGTGCTTCCTGAACTGGCAGCCCCAAACTGGATGCAATATTTCAGGCTCTCACAAGTGCCCAGTTGGAAGGACTAGTAATTTGCTTTGCCTGTAGGCCATGCTTGCTCCTAATGTAGCCTGTGGTTTGCCTTTTGCCAAAAGAACACATAGGTGATTGACAGTAAACCATAACCCCCAGATTTTTTTCTGTATGACTGTTGTTCTCCTGGTTGCTTTCCGGTCTGTGCCAGCACATGGAGTTACTCCACCTTCAGTGCAGAATTTTGCCTTTTCCTCATTGAGACTTCAGTTGTCATAGTCTTCAATTATCAAGAGCCCTCTGAACTGTGGTTCAGTCATTCATTGTATTAACCACTCTTCCTAGTCAAGTATCGTTGGCTAAATTGCTGACAGTGTGTTGTGTCTCCTCAGCCAGGTCACTGGTGAAGACACTGAGTAATATTGGCCCTGTAATCAATCCAAGGAGTACTTTGCTAGTTGGAGGACACTAACTGGACACTGAGCTCTTCATCCTTACTGTTAGAGCCCACTTGTTCATCCTGCTTTCAACGCAGCAAGCAGTCCATTCAAACCAAAACTTCCTCAGGTTATCTCAACAGGAATAACTGCATTCTACTTGTTGACAGTAGTGATATTTTCAGTCTGTATCCTAGCTCTTTTCCTAAATGACCAATTCTGTAGTTGCATCTAAATCTGCTAATGGAAGTTTCCCTGCTCTTAACCATGGTAGGCCCCCCACAAACACTTGTTCATTTCCCCTCTCCCCTCCCACCCTGGAGAGAGGAGAGAATAGGTGGAGCAAAAGCAAGAAAACTCATGGCTTGAGATTTTTTTTTTCTTTCTTTCTTCTTCTTCTTTCTTTCACTTATAAAACTCACAAACAAAAAACAAGTGATGTAAAGCACTTGCCACCTCCCCCATGTAGACCAGTCACTAGCCAGTCTCTGAGCAATGGCTACCTTCCACAAAATCCCCTTCCTTTCTGTTTTACTGCTAAGCATGACGTCATATGGCATGGAGTATCCTTTTGGTCATTTTAGGTTAGCTGTTCTTGTTTTGTCCCCTTCCAACTTCTTGCACACCCCCAACCTACTTGCTGGGAGGGAATCTGGAAAAAGATAATCTTGACACTGTGCAAGCACTGCTCAACAGTAGTCAAAATGCTGCTCTGTTATCAACACCATTTTGGTCACAAATTCAAAACGTAGCACCATACCGGGTGCTATGAAGAGAATTAAGTCCATCCCAGCCAGACTGGTACAATTAGGCCATGAAATTACCACCTTTTTTTCTCACTGTGGTATTTGCCCAAGTGATTCTTTTGTATTCATCCTCTGCAATCTCTTTACAGTGTTCAGCACTAATATGCAGTCCTGCTATGAAGTCTTCTTTTGCTTTATATTTTTGGTTCCTTGTGTTCCTCAGAACAAATGGGACCATCATCTCTACCAGTAAACCCAGCAGCATGGGCTGTAGGATTTTGATAAACCAAGACATACTCTGCTTGTGGGCAAGCAGAATGTCTTGGTACAGTTACAGAGATAAAGCAACACAGTGTCTTGGGTCAAATGGGAAGAGTTTCAATTTGGGGTTCAACACCACAGTTGGGGCAAATCAGTCTGTATCTGAATATTTGCTTTATCAGAAGTTTATGATGTTTTCCTATTTCTTCCTGTTTCTTTTGAAAGTTTATTTAATGTCAGCAGTTTACTAATAGTTAACAAGTGGTAGTTAATGATTTGTGGTACTTAAATCATATTGCAGTAAAAAGACTTTTGAAGGGAGCGATGCATATGCATGTACCAGTTAGACATTCAACTCCCATTATTGGACTTCCAGCTTAGTCATTGCTAGATCTGCCTAAAATTTAAAATTTCTGGCTCAGAATAGCTATGAAGTTGTTCAACAATAATTACTATGCACTGGAAAAGTTAGATAAAGATTTATTGTGGAAATAATGAAGCACTGTGTTTCCAGTATGTACTTCCTGGACCCTTTATCTTAGGAAAAAATTAAGTTCTCTTAAGTAACAACAGTATCAAAATAACCTGAAGATTAAGTTTTCTGAGTGGCTTTTACATGATACCTAGTTGTGGTTCTAAAGCCAACCTGATATGCAGACTGCTATTAAGCTCTAGACCCTGGGAGACCCCCTGGACTTGTAGGCTCTGTGTTTTACTTGGAAGCTGAGTATCGGCTCTAGCTTTTTCTTAATTTATGAGACACTTTCATAAACTTGTGAATAAAAGTTGCATCTGTTGGGTACAGCTTTCATTGTAGTCCACCAGAATATTAACCACAACCCTGAGAAATATTCCATCAACATACTTCTCCCCAAGAAATAAATGCTTCTTGTAAATCTTTTCCTTGTGGTGGTAACCAGGATTCATCTCAGCCTCTCAGTTAGGCTACAGACTCTTTTATCAAGCCTCAGGCAAAGCAAAATCTTCACGCTCTGGCTGCTTAAAGAGCTTTCACTTTCTCACAATGTCCAAAAATTTTTATTATGCTATCAAATCTCTTTATGCCTTGAATATAACTTAAAAATAGCTCAATAATAATTTCTCAACAAAATCTCCTACAAGTAGAGTTTCTTTCAGTGTTAGACACTATGAAAACTAGTTATGTGTATTAAAACACAGTTCAGATTTCAGGTCGCCTTCCATGAATACTGCATCATTTCTGTTTATAAAGGATTCTCCCTACTGCAGCTGCGGAAAGAGAAGCCATTTCCAGTTCAAATTGAATTTCAGTTTACAGCAGCAGGTCAAAGTTCAGCTTTAAAAGAAGAGAGGGAAATCTTCAAATTATTCATAGTAATTTAAACCACATGAATCTTGTAACTTAATGGAATTCTTGTCTCTATTCATGGAAGTTTAGCAATGCTATTACTGTATACATTAGCATTAAAAATAGCTTTATAAACCTCTGACATCTGTTTTGGTTTACTGTGATCAATGCATTAAAATTAATGAAATATTTACCATTTTCCTTTTATGTAAAGCACTGAATATATATTGAATTACAAACTCTAGTAAATATCTTTAGGACTATGAGAAGAGACTGCAAGAGAGGGATGTGACTGATGGCAAAAATTACCTAGATGCACACAGAGCAGTTGTTGCCAACTATCTACAGAAGGTAAGATGCAAAAAATATGGATCTGCTGTATTTCTCTAGGCCATATGCTGCTTCTATACTTGGATGCTTTGTTTCCATGAATACTAAAAATGGATTAATCTCTAAACATGACCTACAGATATCTTTAAAAGGCCTGAAACTAGTCTAATTGAACAAGTGGAGGTCTATGAGTGCAATATTTAATGTTATTGAAAAAGATGCAATATACAAAATGACCAGCCATTCTGGATTTTTGTAGCAGTTCTGTAAATTCTTCATTGCTCCAGTGTCTCGGTGATTTGTACTGTTGTGTCCCAGGCATTCACTGATTTCCCTCTCCTTCCTATTTTCCTTCTTGCAAGCTGTGATGCTAAGAACTTAATTATCTCCATGAAAGTGGCCCTAACCACTGTTAAAAATTATTTAGTGCCATACACAATGTCTTGCCCTTCAGCCTAAGGCAGAGGGCGAATCTTCCATCACGTTACTGTTGTGGTATTAGAGTAACATCTTCTCCCCTTTATCTTGATATAATTTATTTTTCTAGTCTGCTCATTCTGCTAGGATGATATTCTCTTTAATCCTTTGGGAAAAAAATAGAGGAAAACGTTGGTTATATAACCAAGAGAAGTTTGCAATTCCAGACTGTTGTGTGCAAAACATGCCTACCAGTTTCTTACCTTTACTGGAAATATCAAAAAGTGTATCATATCCCAGCCAGCAAGGAAAGCATGTGAGATGATGATAAGGTTGATTTGATCTAGGACAAAACAAATTGTCTGTTAGAAAGAATGGTTTGTAAAAGAATCATAAACAGTGAAGAGTGTTTAAATCTTCTAGACAAGTGCCAAAGCCGAGATTCAGTATGATAATATAAAAGTTATTTTTAACAAAGCTGTCATGTCTGTGTCAGCCCCGTATGTTTTGCATGGTATTTAAGTGTGGTTTATGCAGCACACTGAACAATAATATAGTGGCACAGAGTAACATACGTTATGGTGCCTTTATTAGTCATTCTTTTAGATCAAATACATGTAGCATTTTTTAAAATAGTATTTAGATATTTTACTCTTATAAATGATCAGATGTGCTTGAAAATTAGATTGCTTGCATCATAACTGAAAGTTCATTCTGAAAAGTGATCTTTATATGCTTATCACTTCAACACAAAGCTATTATAAGAACAACAATAACTGAAATGAAAACTTTTAAAAATAAGAAAGGGAAATGTATTGTAGAAAATTGTTTGTTACTGCTGTTCTACAACTGATCTTGTAATAGCACAGTATATAAAGGCATTACTGCTGTTAGTGGTAGGGGAAAAGGACAAAGGCAATACTCTCTTAGAAGAGGGAAGACTCATCTCTGTGCTTCAGTCTGTGACCTCAGCATAGAAATGAAAGGAACTAAGGATTTTAAACATTTATTTGAAATCATAGTATTTGTAATACAGCCTTCATGGATTTTTCTGCAGTCCAAAGTGCTGCTTTTATTCCTCATAACTAATACCATATAGATTTCTCTACAGCCCTCCCTGCAACTTCATTTAGACGTGGAAAAGAGATGTCTGTTAGTGTTATTTATTGTTGTGATTGTTTCTGATGATGAGCTGTGTGCAGATAAGACTTCATTTTCTCATTGTATGCTTTCATACATTCTAATATCTGGCTAGCCAGTATGTTTCTAGAGAATCATTGTATTTGCAAAATGAGCTTATATTATGTTCTGACACAGTATCTGGCGGAAAGAAAATTTTCCTTGGACCGTGACTCTTTTAAAAGTTGGAAAAAAATGTATATTTGGTCATTTTGTTTGTGTTTCATAAACAGAATGCAAATATTTGCAGTGGATTTGGATTAGAAATGTACTTTTGTCTCTTCTTCCTCCCCATTCACAGGTTCGAGAATCAGTAATAAACCGTTTCCTCATAGCAAAACACCATTTTCTTCTCTCTGACCTTGTCAATGAAGAGGAGGTTCCTAGCCTGGGGTAAGGGAACTATATTGGTTCTAAATAAAAATAATTAATGTAGAACAGTCTTTTTTTAAATTTTTTTAAAGTGTATTGATGTGACTAACTGATGTGATCTTGTGTTTAGTATAATATATAAACTTGTAGTCACTCTGTACACCTCTGCCAGTACAGTGTATTGATACACAAAGTGCCTAAAAGCTTTTTTAAGAAAAAGTCTGGCTTTGCCAGAAGTAATATGACAGCATGTAAATAAGATTTAGCAGGATATAATGCATTAAGCTGTGATCTGATGAGCAGACCATAGCCCTAGGTCGTCCCAGACTGAATGATTTCCAAATATCAGACAGGTGCCAGAGATAGTAACACTGCTGGTTCTATAGGTGATGCTCACTTAGAGTCAGTGCATGTGCCCCGCAACTAATATGCAATAGATTTCTTTAACAGTCACTTTCTTTATTTTACTTTTCATGTATTTCTGTTTGCTGTTGCTGGATGTCATCATAGGCTGTTTATTTTTAGAAATTACTTCTTTTTTTCTTTTCAGATTATTATTTGTTTTACTACTTACACACTTTCTTTGAATTTTTGTTCCAAATCCCATATTTGTTGATTTTGACATTTATCAGTCATTACAACGTAGATGACTTTTAATCAGTGTTGCTCACTTAAAATCTGTGTAAGTAAACAGGTTGAGAGAGAGAGAGTTTTTTTTTCTTTTATGCAGAAGTTGCTTGTATTCACTATAAACATGACACCCTTAAAGTACAGACAAAGCTTTTTCAAGCAGCAGTGTAAATCTAAACAGTCCCATCTGCTGGAGATGAAGAGACTTGCTGTCTTACAAGAGTTCATCCGATTTTTTTAGTTTGTGTTTTCACATCACTGAATGGAAAATTCCAAACAAGATTACAGTCAGTTTTTGGAGTTTTTTTAAAATTGGATGATTCACTGATATTTTCTTACCATGAATACTAATTCATATTGGTTTCTATTTCCTAATTTATATGATTAGTGAATTTAAAACCATGATTTGTTTAAAGCATCTACTTAGTGGGATATTTCAGTAACTCATGGTTTTGTATTATTTTAAGAGTAATTACTATGATTTTTTTTTTTTCATTATGTATAAGGAAATAATGCCACTGGCTATCAGTTTTTAAAGTAGATTTTGGAATGTCTGCAGTTAATATCAATGATGTGTAAAAACATACATCTGCTTTTTATTCTTTTCCTGTTTTGTTTTGTTTTTTCTTCTTTGGTTCTGCTTTGCCTTGGGTTATAAGTTCTGAGGGTCCAGGGTATGTTGTGGTATATTCATTCTGCTTCCTTCCTATAGCCTATTGTTTGTTGTACATAGCTGTGTAATTAGATTTTTTGCATATTCCATACAGTGGTTGTTGTAATCTGCTAGATACCTTGTTTATAGCGCTGTATTTTAGATCTATCTTGGAGCTGTGTCATTGTCTTATTTGTATCTTACCTAGTTCTGGAAAAAAACCTTTTTTGCACATTTAAGTTATAATTTTTGAAATATAAGACAGAACTGGAGCGTGTCATACGAAACAATTAAAACATTTTGACAATTCACAGAGTTTTGTATGACACTGACAGGAGCATATATTTCCTTTTTCGGTTAGTGCATAATTTGCCTGTGTGTCATGGAAACGCTAGAATACTGGATTCTATGCAGAAATGACTAAATACCTGTTTTATGATTATTAGTATTCTGGGACTCAGCCTTTTTAAACTGGCAGAGCCAAAACGACCATTAAAGCCAAGAAGAAAAGAAAGGAAGAAGGTCACAGCACAGAATTTATCAGATGGAGACATAAAACTGTTAGTGAACATCATTAGAGCTTATGATATTCCAGTGAGAAAACCAGTGATGAGGTATGTTTAAATGCCTTTTTCCATTACAAAGTAATTTTCTGGTTGCATCTGTTTTGAGGACAGCTGAAGCAACTAATGTTGAAATTTGACCATGTGTGTTATTTTAATCCTCATGATAAAAACATATATACATTTATCTTTTATTAAAAATGATAAAGAACTGCTGTTTTTTAAGTTTGTAGAATAATATTACCATTTCTCAACAACTGCTGAATTTAAGAAATGTTTTACCAAAAACTCTAGTCATCTGCTTGAAGAAAAAAACTGTCTGGAAGATAACTTACGGCTTTGACAACATTAGAACTCTGGTAATATCACATGATTTATACCTTAAGCAAGCCTGCTAGTTATACTCAGGGAAATTTTAATTCATAATATCTGAATTAAATACCAAAAATAAGTATTTAAAAAATCCAGTTCTTCATTGTGGGATACTACGTTTGGCTCCTGAGTGCAGCGCGTTGCTTTTCTCCTTCATGAACTGTTTGTTTAAGTTAATGGACTGAGCCTAATTGGGCTCTGATTAATTTTAAAGGTGACCATTACCTTCAGGCACATTAAGGCAGTGCCTGCGTTGCATGATGCTGTGTCATGTAGAGGTTCTTGAGTCCTGAACAGTCTGGTTCAGTTCCAGGAGCAATGTATTAGTGCAGCATTCTCTCTCTCTCCCAAAATGAATACATCTTGCATTTAACTTGGAGGTGTTTTCAAGCCGACCAATTACTGTGCATACAGAATTTAGCCTCTTCTACTATTTTCTCTTTACTATAATAAAGGTTCTGTTGGATTTCTGTAAATAAGTTCTTACTGAAAAAAGCAATTCATATTAGAAACATGTTGACAGGAAGGGAAAGAAAAAAAATTCAGTTTGTTATTGGTATTACAAAAATAACTAAAACCCCTCTTAGTCTTTTTGCATTATATGAGATCTTATTTTGAGCTGCTTTCTCCATGAATAATTATTCTTTTATAACCTCTACTTTGGTGTTATTACAAAAAAATTCAGGACGAAACACTATAAAAATAAATGTATTAATATTTATTTTATTTCACTCACGGATTACTGATTGTGTAATATTCATATGGGCTTAATTTTGTCATAGTGGCCTTGCCTGGATAAAGACCTTTTGCCTGCGTGAAGTCTACACTGTTTATGAATTCTGTGGGGATTCATCTCCTTAAACAGGAAAACCTGTAGCTCAAGGAGATTGTATGAGGGAGGAGAAAAAAAAAAAGTCTGGGGTTGATAGGCTCTTCAGAAAAGAGAAGCCTCCAGGCACAACGCACTCTTTTACAATGAGGCTTACAGGAGCTGTTCACTTGCTACCCCTTTCTGGCATTCTTTTGGTGTTATTTGATCAAGTAAATATCTTTCCATGGTTAAAGTCATAACATAAAAATATCAGAAGTATTTCCAAAATTCTGTATGGTTAATACAGGATGCCAGTGATTCATATTTTGTAATGTGTTCTTGCTCTTTTCTTTGTTGTTGCTGTCTGTTTCCTCTCATAGCAAATTTCAACAACCATCCAAATCTTCAAGGTCCTTTAATGAGATGTTTGCAGCCTCTCCATCAGCTCAGAGCCCAACTGATAGCCCAGACTGGGCATTCAACCAGGTATATTACAAAACTAACATTTTCTTATGTGAAGCTGTGAGCGTTCCTCTTTTCCACAGACAGTAGCATTTACCATCAGAAAGATATCTTATTAGTGAGGTTGGTTTGCCCACTCCTTGATCTCCACAAAGATACTAAAGCTGCAGAAGGTTCAAAGAAGGATGATAAGGGTGTCAGAAAAATGGAATGGCTACTGTACAATGAAAAATGGTAGAGCTTTTCAGCCAGAATTGTGGTAACTGCAAGTAGGGGAGGAGGAATACAAAATCATGAGTAATACAGAGACTGTGGATAGAGACTGACTGTTTACTTTCTTTTTCAGTAAAAGGGTGAGGGATCATGAAATGAAGCTGGTAGGAGATAGGTTCAAAACAAACAGAAGGTTGTGATTCTTCATGCAGCAGTTGGTAGGTGCCCAGAGAAGTTGCTTACATGTATTGTGGAATAAAGAGGTTTGTTTGCAGTGAAGTGGGTATTGGACAAGTGTTTGGAAGAGTGATCCATTGGGAGTTACTGAATAGAAAAATCGTTACAGGCTTAGGAAAACCCCTCATCTGAAAATGGTTGAAGCCTGGAAGAGTGATAGGAGAAAATACCATATATGCCTGCTTTGTTCTTAGTCTTCTGTATATGTCTGCTTATGGCCAGCCTGAACTTTGGGCCTGGTGCACTTTTGGTCTAAAGCAGCACAGCCATTCTTACGGCTGATACTGAAACTACATTTGCTTCCTATTGAGAACTAAATTCAGCACCTTTCCGAATGAAGATGGAAGCCCTTCAGGGTTTTTTCTTGTTTTTCTTATGATTTTCTTTCAGAATTATTGCTTCTTGAAAAGTAGAAAAGGTTATGCCATATGCATTTGAACACTAATGAAATTCTCCATTAAGACATTTTTAATCACATTTGGGGTTTGTTGTGTCTAGGGGGAGTTGCTTATCTGTAATAGGGGCCAGTTTCAGAGACAACAGGACTGTAGCGGTCGGCTTCTTGGATTACAGATAAGAAGATGCAAGTGCACTTTTTTCCACTGGTGTCTGGATCACATGTTGTTTCAGTTACTTTCTTTGATTAGATAGCCAGTAGCTTTCCCACTCTCGGGGAAAAGTGTGGTTTTGCTAGTGTGTATAAATATGTCAAGTCTTCTGAATACACATAATCTTTTGGAAATGCTAACATACAAAATATTTTTAAAAGCTTCATAAATGCTTAGAAGCCTGGGAAGTGCAATATTTAGGGTGTATTAAAGCTTTATGTCGGCTGGACCAGCCTGATCTCCACAAAGTATATGTTTATTTTTCTAAATGCATGAAAATGTGTAATTTAATGTATTCTGACAAATTTTTATGCAGATCTGTTTCCAGTGTTTTGATTTCTATTTATAGGTTTTAGTCCGTCCTTTTGTAGAAGTTTCTTTTCAGCGAACAGTCTGCCGGACAACAACAGCAGAGGGTCCTAACCCCAACTGGAATGAGGAACTTGAGCTTCCATTTAGGTATGGCAAAATGAAGCCAAGTTCTTTCTGAGTAATGCTACTTTAATTTGAGCATGCAAATTTATTCAAATTTTCCTATTCTGTTCAGTTAACTTTTTTGGTTTATATAACCTTTTCAGAGCTCCTAATGGTGACTACAGCACCCACAGCTTGCAGTCAGTGAAGGATGAAGTCTTCATTAATATTTTTGATGAAGTACTTCATGATGCTATAGAGGTGAGTTTGTAATTGGAGGACAGCGTACATTACAAAATATTATGAGCTTTTTGAAGTTGACAGAATAAGATTTTCCAGTGTAGTAGCTTTCACCCTCCTGTGCCTTTTTTTCTCTACTTTGTCATTCCTTATGTATATTTAGTCAATACTGCAAGACTGTTAGAGGGAGCAGGCTTTATGGTGTTAGCCTTTGTCTGTACAAATTAAGTGTGTACTGTATAATCTGCTGGTAGAGTTGAACATGCGTATATAATCTGTTTTACTGATATTTAATGAAATTGAAGATAGTAAAATTGAGAGGCAACATATGAACTGTAATGTGAATTCTGTCCTTCTTAAACTTAATCAGAATTTTTTACTAAATTCTAGATCCCAATTCCTGTATTTTTTATTAACTATCTTTTTATGCTCTGTCTTATCTTGTTTTATGAGCTGTTTGTTGAAAAAAAAAATCTTTCAGTTGTATATATTAATTTTTTAGAATGAGATAAAAATTGCAAGTACTAGTAACAAGAAAATTTTGTAAGCTCTCAGTGTTGGCATAACTTCTTCCCTTGTTGAAACCAGTGAAAGATCTCCCAGTCAATTCAGCATGCACAAAAATAGCAGCACTCAACATTCTTGAAAATAAACCTAAAAATAAATAATGCATACATTTCACTGAGAACAGAATTCTGTCCTTAAAACTGAAATGGAATTTGAAGCAGCAGAAGGAAGAAAGACACCATCTTGAAACACAGATGTCACTCTAGCCTTTAGAAAATTATTTTGTTTTTAATAACTTGTAGGCTGATAATACTAGATTTGGAAATCCCTGATAGACAATACATATGGAAACAATGCTTCCATTCCACTGGGTTTAGTTAATTTTCATACAGTTTTACCTTTGAAAAGCTTATTTAAATATTAGTAAAATATTTAATTAGAAGACCATAGCTTAATTTACTTTGTCTGAGAAGACTCTTGTGGGCTCCTTGTCAGATTTTTGAGTTTGCCATCACAGATTATACAGAATTTGAACCCTGAAGTACAATCACATTGTATCATGGACCATGACGTTCTTGCATTTGTTCAGCATCTGGCATGTTTGAAAGGCATGCAGAATAATCATTGCCATACTAGTAATTGAACTTATATCTATAGTAAATTATAAAAACAATACATAATTTTAATTAATGCCTTGATTAAATTGCTGATTGAATTAAAGGAAATGAAGCTGTCTTACAAATTTTTATGTTGTCCAACTTTTTAATAGGATGATCGTGAAAGAGGAAGTGGAATCCACACTCGTGTTGAGAGACACTGGCTGGGATGCGTGAAGATTCCATTTACTACGATATATTTTCAAGCTAGGGTAAGTGTCACAAACTTGGAGTAAATCTCTTAAAATACAAAACTGGAGAATGGAAAGGGGCTGGTAATGGAATGTCAGATTTAATGATGTTTTCTGTATCTTTATTTTAATGGAATTGTTTGAAAATGTCTTTGAAACTACTGGGTTTTGTCAAATTTGGTGAGTATTTGTTAGTAAGTTCAATGTTTTGAAGGGAGAAGAGTTAGACAAACATACTTCTACACTGACAATGCAGCCTGGCTTCCGTCAGTTATGAGGTTAAAACTGCAAATTCTTTAGATGATTTTGTCAGTGGCTTTTGAGATCTCCAGTACTGCACAGCCTAGATAGGTGAACTAGGAATAGGAATATCACCTAGATAAGAGTTAGGACAAGTTTCCTATCACCTCTTTTTTCACACTTTTCATGAATCAAAATTTACCAAATTTTCACCTTTGCTTTTCCCAAGCCCTTCTTTCCTCCATTTTTAGAACTTTTCAAGAGAAGCTTTCTTCAAGAGATATCAACAGTTAGTCAAGGGAGCAATAATAAAACATGCAGTTCTTCATAGGTGAAAGGCGTTTTTTTGTCCAGCCACCCATCCTGGACTCAGGTTATGGAAACTCATTTTTCACATCAGTAATCCTGTGTGATAGTTTAACTGA